CCTTCTTCACGTGGTGTCCTTCGCTGATGTGTTCGTGGATTCTATATCACGATTAGCAGACCACAATATTCAAAGGTTCCCAAAATCCGTACTCAACGGTGCCAACGTCCGTCGCGCCAATAGCCACAAATAGAACATCTCCAAATTCCTTACTTTCAATACAAACACAACACCGCGCATTCTCCGTCAAGATGTTAACCGAACTTTGCAAAGCCACTGGATCGACTTGATAATAATCACCCGAGATCGCCTTGAACCACTTCACTGTCCCTTCAACGGGAGAGTGGTACCGATGATAGTCCTGAGGACTAAGGCGAAAGCTAGCAACCGCTCCATCCTCCCACCGTTTTGCGTGATCCGCGTCTCGGATTAGATTGGCGATGGTGAACTCGTTGCCCTTGATCCACAGCCGGCGCGTTGCTTCCACGGTCGGATACACTACAACCCGCGAGTCAGACACTATTACTGCTTTGGTAGGGTCGTTGACGTCGTAGATCGGTCGCGCTCCGGGTGCGTGTCTCCGGATGAAGAAGTCTTCAAATGTCTCGTACGCCTCCGGGTCTGATGGTTCAAACTGGGACATGTCAATCTTGTAGAACTCGATGAAGCTTTTGATTTCGGAATGTGATTGCGGTTTCCCTTCCCTTTTGCCTACTTTCGATTAGTTCTTGATATTCTCCTATGACAGTGTTAGTAGAGGTGCTGCGCAACTTACCCGCTCTTAGAGTCCTCTCGTGGGTCCATAGCCGGAGAAGGTGTGTACGATCTATCCACTCCGTGATCGGGTTAAATAGCAGAAGGATCTTGAGCTTCTTCAACAAAGGCTGCTGCTCCCGTGTGAATTCGCCCGTCTTGCGATTGAACGTTAGCCACCCTACATGGCGCTCTTGGAGCTGCCGGATGAATGCGACAGCAACATTGACCAGCTGCTGTAAATAACTGAGAATGCCCGGCATGGCGCTATATATCCCTCTTTTTTATTGTCACATACAATAAGTAGCAAGGCTATTCGAGAGGTTAGTTTACCTTGAGAGGAAATGATGAATACTGAACGTCGAAGTAAAGAGGTTCCTATCGTAAGCGTGATGTCATAGCAATCAACCCTAGAAAGCTCGCCAACAAATTCACGATATTTGTGAAACACAATTACTCAAGTGTTATATTCATATTTTTGGAAGGCGCTAAAGAGTGGCAATGAGAAGCTGGAAAGGAAAACCCCGTTACTACTCGCAGAATATCCATGATCCGCATTCTTGTCCACAAGATTCCTCTCAATGTTCCACCTTTTCTAGGGTTCCTGGATTATGGGCGACTCTTTTGCCACGCTGATCATGAAATAAGACCTGAACGGTATTAATGGTAAATATCATCATTATCGCACATGTAGCCTATACAATCTCACCTTTGGTGGGTTCTTGACGCCCTCCTCTTCGGCTTCCTGCTCATCCATGACAATCCTTTCGACCTATGTCAGCGTACACCTTAGTCTATGTCCTGGATCTCAAACTTATGGGACAGAAGTTTCTTAGAATACCTCCCCTTGGTGTGAACCACCACGGATGCGGGTGAAGACATAATCACCCTCATGGATAGTCTCGCCGTGCTTGTCTTTTACGTCGCCTTTCACCATCCTGAATGTTGAATCGGTTGGACCTTGAAAGCTTAGACTTTAATATTTCGGTGATAACTTTTGTGAATATACTGTAGAGAAGTTTGATCGGCGCAATGGGTGTGAGATATCAGTATGTGTTGGTCAGCCTTCCGTCAAGTAAACGTCATTCGGCAAGTTCCAGAAGCTGGCATCTTTTGGTAACTTATAAGATTCTACTTGCATATACCCTTGGTAAAGTCTACTTTTAGAGGGGCCAATTTCTGTTTTACTTTGCGTATAGGGTTCTATAGTACCCCTGACGAAGGTACATTGAGTGGTTTGGCAATGTTGCCTTCAAAACTCCCTACTAAACAACCTCATGTCTCCCATCTTCTCGCTGTGGTGGTCAACTTCCCCCAGTAACATTAAACAAATATGACTATAGCTGCCTAGCCGTCTCACAGGCCTCGTACGGTCGCTCAAATCGCTCCGGCTCCCTCCCCAAGATCTCACCAACGGTCTGCCATACGAAGCATATTTTGGGGATAGATAGAACTAGCAGTATTTTTACCTATTTCCTTTAAAGATTCGCTACTATACTCATATCAACCTGGAAATACGGTCAATTTCACTAGATATTATAGGTTTTGTAAGCCATCTTATTATCTTGGGCTTATGGTGCCGTGCCCTCCACCCTCAGAGGTTTTTCTTTCTTCCAGAGCATAAAATAACGGATGTTCTTTCTAGCGAATTCGTTCCTGTCTCTGCTAACACTCTGTGAAAACATTTAGGCGATGTGGGTCATGATCGCCATCATTATTGAGGCGGAATACCTATATCGCTTTGTGGTCTACCAGCACACAAATGAGATGTTGTATACATCGATCTATCGACAACCCCACTACATGCCAAGCCAAGGCGATTATAAATCAATTTGTGATATACGATCGACTAGAAAAATAAGCAGGAGCCACATACTTTTGTGATATCGAGTGAATTTCATCCTGTTATCAATCTTTGGTAGACATTGAATTCATACCATTCACTATGAAGACAGTTTTCATATAATATCACCACCCTGGTCATAATCTGGACTAGCTAACTGCTTCTGGCACAGGTGCCACTGGCTATATTGACGGGGATGTTCTATCTCAGTTAGCAGTCAAGCATCCCAACCTCACATATAGAGTGTTAGTTCGCGGTGCGGAAAAAGGCGAGCAAATAAAGGCTCAGTACCCATCAGTAGAGATTATCTACGGCTCTTTTGACGACACAAGCATACTTGAAGCTGGAAGTGCCAATGCTGATATAATCATCCGTGAGTTTCAAGCATTGAAAATGCCGTGTTAAAGGTTAATTTATACTGATATTATAATAGACACAGCCGATGCGGCCGATCATGTAGAAGCTGCCCAGGCAATCCTGTCTGGCATTGTCAAGGGACACGCGGCTGAACGTCCCGCCTAGAGTGGTATTCGGGTCCGCAGTCTAGGAAGCAATAAAATCCCACTATGTAATCAGCATGCGCCCGCTTGCTATGAACCATATTCCTGTTGCTGTTAGTGAATAATGGAATATCAGAGTTAGTGAGGCATGATTTACACCACATAATGGAGACGCCATCATTTACCAAAGAAAAGGACGCACAATAAAGGCCGGGTAGCCTACCTCCACTGCAGGGCATGGTCCCGCTCTACGTCCGGCTGTTGTCATAATGGCCATTCAAGATGAAGCCTCTCCCTCATACAACTCTACCAATTCTTACATCCCCGTGCATGCTTCCAGCTCTCTGAATGGCGATATACAGCATAATATAGTCAGACTGCATGACAGAGGGCATCTTCCCAAGGATCTCCTAGATCGGTATGTCTGCTGCTGCTAATGTTTTACGTCCTATATCTTCTGCATCTGTTAACATTATTTTTGAAGGCTTGAAGTGTTAACGGAGTATGTTCTTGCCGTGTCTATTCTTTTCTTCCTTTCTCTACGCTGCTGATACTTATGACTTTAGTATCCTTGTGCGACTAAATATATGCCTATCTATTATGCAATCAGGGACAGCGCAAGGTACCGACACACCCAGCAAGCTGATCGAATACCCCTCCACTACAACTGAGCAAGGGTCCCTCGTCAGAAATGACGAGAATACGTAAACCATATTCGTCCAGGGACTATATGGTTGATTTGTAGTTGCGCCGGCTTTTCTATTTTCCTTTAACTTGATTTTCTCTGTGGCCGACTTGTTCATCACTAGCTAAGTGAGTCGCGACTAGGAGATGAATTCTATGTTCACCCGCTAAACGAGAACGTCCAAGCAAAACGGATTTAATCCATTATTAAGCACATCAGCAGGAGGTCCTGGCAAAGAGCTCTAGAAATGTATAAGCTTATCCAACGGGTTCTCCAATTAGAGCCACTCTATGTTTAATTCCGATCTCAGGTACAGCAGCTAACCCAATAGAGTGAGTTTCTCGCATTAGGAGATTGTACGTGTTCCTCAAAGGGCTCGTGGAGGTTTAATCCAATTGTAAATATTATATTTTACGTTGGGCGGGCAAGAAGACCTTCAGATCATCAAGGGGAATTAGACCCAAGTAATGGCCCAACAAGTAATCGTGAACGAGGATCTGTTGGTCAGGCTTTTGGTTTTTGTGGTGGAGAGCTCCTGAGATTGGACCTGGAAGGCAGCCAGAAGCAGTATGTTAGACATCAAATATAATCCTATTTATAAAGCGAGGACTTGTTATGTTTCTAGTACACCGACAGCTTGTACTGTAATCACTGCGCGCCTTATCCTTGAAAAACAATCCTCCCCTTGCTGATCTAAACACTTTCCCAGCTTCTTCTTTCGTTCCAATTCTACCTCCTATATTCTGCGCCCATTCGAGGCTACTTGCCTAATCTATTTATTCAGCCCTTCCACTAATCTCCCTTTCCCAACTTGGATCTATCGTGATGGAAATACTGTTTTCAAAAATGATATGAAGGGATTCAATATAACCTTCCCACCAGACCCAATAAATACAATATATATGTACTTGGCCAAGCGGCTCTCATGAGTGTACCATCGCTTGTCTTCACGATATATCGATTCTCCGTGCAAAAATACCCCAAAATGCCGCAAGTAGTGCCAAAACAGTGGAAGATGGAACCGAAGCATTCTGTAAATCCCCGGGATGATAATTTAGCCAATAGATCCAAAAACTGAACGCTGAAGATATTAGAATGACATGATAAAAGAAAATAAGTGCAATAGAGCCTTCATAATGGGCCTCAATCCCGAACGCAGTTTCTCCCGGCTGACTCAAACTTGCATCGAATGCTTGGCCCTTTTTCCTGGGGATGCGCTCCCACATACGGGGACTATGGGGAAGAGGGCGACATTTGTGAAGAATGGAAGGGAGATAAGCTAAATAGCAATCATCATCACATGCTTGAAGACAGATAGAGAACCGCCTCCGGTCAATAAGCGGGTTTTCCGCCCTTGGGGGTCTAGGACGGTACTCATAGTCACTGGTGTAGCCATGTTCATCAGGTAGAGCTTCCCCGACGCTGTAAACCTGGTCAAAATTGATTGACTCAAACTAATAAAGTTAGTTCAAATACTAGTATTGTTGAACGGGGTATTTACTTGAACAAATTTGCAATAGCGAAAGCGAAAGGGAGAGAACCAGCGTTGGAAGAACCAGCGGTGCTTGGCGTGTCTCTTTTTCAATTCTTTGAAGAATGATGGGTCGTTCAGCAGGTTTGATGATTCTATATTTTCAATCTCATCGTATTCATCCATATCTTTGATGCCAAAAACTACCCATGAAGGGTTGCCATATCGACTGACGGAAATAGCTTTCGCGTTTCCAGCTTGTGGTTCCACGGATATAGCACTGCTGCCTGCAGAATAATGTGGTGGACTTGCGGCCGTTGAACCATGTGCAGTTTCTGAAGATGCACTAGATGTTGCTGTAACTCCTGGAGTATAGCGTTGATGGGCTGTTGATTGCGACGTTTGCCAGCCTAACGAGTTACTTGGGGCTTTCCAGCTCAGCATTTCGGTGATTGCTTGGCCTATGCACCGAAGAAATTCGGCCCAATTCGCACGACGTGCTTTTGTTGCCAGTAGTTTTGTCTCACAACAAAAGCATTTTGGTGGGTGGTCCTCAACTAACTCTAAGACCTGCTGTATGGAAACAGCATCTTCGGGCGATATCTCTCTATGAAGTGTGTGTCCGCAAAACTATATATCATCAGAATGCGGAAAATGGCATCATAGTATCCAAGAGATTACTCACACTCCACTGAAGACGCATTCTACCAGGCGATAACTCAGGCACTCGAGGCATCAGAGGCCACCAATCCCACTCGAAGGCGGTGTGATCTTCAATAAATGCTTTCGCCATATTCATTAAAGATGTGTCATTCACGGCCGAAATATGAATTAAATGTTTCGGGGTTGACTCCACCACCTCTCTTAATGACGCCGGTAAGACCAGTAGCCTTAGTTCGAGAAGTAGTGCCTGGAATGGGATGACGCTGTATAAGAACTTGTTGGCATGTGTGATGTTAGGAAACAGTAACTCCTCGGCGTGATACTCGTCTTCAGCATCTTCGCTGTCACTTTCGTCGCTGAATTGTTCGTGACTTCCAAACTTGGGGACAACCGCAGTATCTACTACAGGTAGCCCATGTGTATTTCTTATCCAGTCCTCAAGTGACTGCTTTTCGACCGGTTGTGAAGTTATCCTATCCAACGGTTTAGTATTATCGTCTTTGTCATCCTGAATAAGATCTATGATCTGCCACGCCACGTTAATACGGTTCAATCGAGACTTCAAGACCCGAAAGATATCAATTTGAAAGGTGGTCTGGGCTTCATTGCGCAACTTCAGAACATAGAATTTGAGAATTCGTCGATAATTTTCTTGGAAACGGTTCGGTCCGAGCTTCTTCAGGGCTTGTTCATGCAGTGGGCGCAACTCTTCCAACTCGTGTAAGAACGACGCAATGTGCCTGACAGCGAGGACTTCCGGCCTTGTTCTTTTCGTCGCAGTCTTAGAGGCGATATCATTTTCATCAGATACAACAGAGATACAGTCTTCATCTTCGAAAGTATCTAAAGTTGCTCGATACAATGAAGTCGACGGCTTGAGTTCAAGCATTTGTTGTTCTTGTATGTCTAGTAGAGTTGTAGCAGCGAAACTAGATTCTTCTGGTTGAGTTAATACTTCTTGGCTTTGAGGCATTGACGATGCATCAGACCTCGAAGCTTGCGACCCTAGCACACGTTGACGACCATCCATCTTTTGTATAATCAGCTGTTCTGTTTCATCCAGTCGATCACCGTCCATGTATGTAGACGCTGGGCCAGTTATGCTAGTTGTGCTAGAGGGATCATTATCCTCATCAAGAGCAAAAGTGGCTTCCTTGGTTATATCTGTACCAGATTTGTCTGCCAGTTCTTTTGCCTCTTTCAATCGTCCGCGGCCCACATACGTGTTTGTCAAGTCCTCCATGCCTATGTGCTCTAGCTCCAGCGATCGTTTCCGTGCTTTCAGCTGTTCTTCGTTTAAAACAGCTGTTCCCATGCGTTCCCTCAACACCTGAAGCGACTCATCAGATATTTGTCCTTCGAGCAATCCCCTTGAGCTAGGTTTGGTAAAATCTTTATTTGCTAGTATTAGACGCTCAAGTGTTGACACCGCCACCGGGGGTGAGAGGTCAGCAGAGGTGCAATTCTTGAATGTACCTGTGCGGGAGTTGTCCCTCAGCTCAGATGCCTTGTGGCAGATTTCCATGCGCTGGTGGGCGATTTGCCAGTCATCCTGCAGCCCGTTAAGTTCCAAGATGTCTTGCTCAGACGTAATAGCTGCTTTCGACTTCACCAGTAACTGGTCCGTAAGGTCTTGCATATGCTTTTCCAATTGAGTGATTGTGTCGGCCAGGTTATTTTTACAGTCCTGTAAGCTCTTATCAGTGACTCGCTCTGGGTAATTATCTGAATCCGATAGTTCTGAGGAGCTGTTACTGCTCCTGGTTGAGAGCTGGATTTGATTAATATAGTCGAAAAACTGGGTATATATTTGAAGATATTTCTCTGTACTCATGTACTTTTCCTTAATTCGCTGCAGCTCCAAGGTATTTGAGTTCTCTGTGGTCACGGTTTGTCTAATAATAAGCTGCAGCTTATCGTCCATGGTTTCCAGGTGGTCCTCAAGATCAGCCTTGGCTGTCTCTATGAGATCTTTGTAGCCTTCAATGGCCTCGGCATTGATGGGGCTTTTGCGGCTGGGCGTCAGGTTAGCTAGGGGTGTTTCGAAAATGAATGGAAGCGTAGCAAAGGGGGGAAAGGGGGGGAGGGGTTCGCACAACGTCATGGGAGGGCAGCCAAGGGAATGACCATGTTTATTGTATACAAGACAACGGAGACTCACAGATTCGCACCGGTAAGGATAATATGGATGGTTTGTTTGTACCCGGACAGCATTCGTCTGAAGCCATCAATATCATTCCCCAGATACTTCAACTTAGCCCAGTCTCGGAAGCTGGTTCGGTTAGCGGACCGTGACAAGCACTTGATTATTTCCTGTTCGAACTCGCTGCACGCATTGCCGCAGCGTCGTAGCGGTAGTTCAAGTACAGATAGGTTCTCATCAGTTGTAGTATCTAACAGCTCCTGGAGCGGGGCGAGAACTCCGCTCAAAGCCTCCAGCTCCTCAATCAGGTCGCGTACGCGTATTGGGTGAGACCGGAAGCTATTGACTGTCTCGTAAAGCGATTGGCTAGCCTTGAATGCAAAAGTTGCTAAAGCCAGTAGGCCAGAGGCTAGACCTACAGGTTCTGCCATTCTTTTCTTTGCTTGGGTGGTGGGGAGTTGAGGTGGGCTGGCTTGATTCTTCCCAGAGTAAAAGATAACTGAAAATTTTGATCGAATATTTTTGCTGGGACAAAGCACAGAGAATGAAGCGGAGATTTAATACTTTTTGTCTACAGTGGGGCCTGGTGATCGCCGGCAAGTGATCATAACATGTTCGATGTACGCGCGCTCATATGTAGGTGGTGTACCAGGCTCGTATTGAGTTTGATAGCGAGGCTGTTATGAGGGAAATAACTCTGTATTCAGCGACCTAAATGGCGCTGTGGGGAGGAGACCCACGTGGATTGGCCGACTTTTTGCCAGCAGTTGCGGTTCGGCCAGGGTTTTAGGAGCGAAGAGAATAGAGGGCTAGGACAGGACCAGAAGAGGAGTAAACGCCAAACGTCCTCGTGTCGGATCATCGGAGGAATTGTTTGTATGGTAGGTCATTGGTTGGCTAAGCGCCCATCCCATGTGGAGATATCCCACCTTTTCCTATTGGTTGGGCTAGTTTTAAAAGGTCAATTTAAGTTATAAATATAGTAGTGGTGAGAATCAAGTGCTTATTCCGTGGGAGTCTGAGACGCAGCATCACGAATGGTAGACCAGTTTTGGTTTGTCATATAATCTAGTAGCAATTTTCTTTTTCTTTTTTTTTCGCTGAGGTCAAACGCTAGAGAAGTACCGCCATGTGAGGACACATTTCTATTGGCACCTGGAGCAGAACTATGATGCTGTTTGGATTAGAGGCAACCCCTAGGTCATAGTGGTTCATACTGCTCCATGTATTCATACCCGATCCACTTTCTTACCGAAAAGGACCGCTTAGCTGCGGCGAAGGGGACCCACCAGGGGCGCCTAAAACTTTGGGGACTACGCTCGAGGCTGAAGGTATCAGCACCACAGTATCTGTTCTGACTCCACTACCACATGACGCAGTAAAGATTCCCGCTGTTGAGAGGCTCTGAATTTTAGGAGCGGTGGTCGAGCCCCTAAGCACCCTACTTCTAGGTTCGACTGTGCTCTGGGGGAGGGCAAGTAGGACTTAATGATGTCATTTAGTAATCTATTCCCTCTCTATCTCATAAGAGTGATTTGAGGCACATGAAGCCAGGGCTATCAACATGAAACTAAGGAGAGACGCCCAATTTCCAACCAAACAGATGTCTGCCAGGAGTTTCCCTTTATTTCTTGTTCCTATTCTTTAATACAAAAAGAAAAGAAAAGAAAAGAAGTAGCCTTTCATTGACACAAAGCGATGCCATTGACACCCTCAATCCTCGTTCTCTGACTCAATATGTATGTGCAGCAGCTGAGATTCTCGTTGCCCTGCCCTGAACACCTCTTGCATGAAACTTTCGTTGAGGGCCGACATTTTGAGGTTCGCATAATTGATTGATTCCGATGCCCTACGAAAAAGATTTCCTTCTTTGTTAATTCTTACCAGAATAAAACGAGACCCTTTTTAACCTTTCTTCTACCGGAAACGGAAGGTTTTGATACTCCGGTAAACTTTTGTATAGGCTTGGGCTCAGTTACTGAGTCTATTAGCGTTCTTTGGATGATCTTCCTGCCGATTATAATCTCTACCTTTGGAACTGTACTAGAAAGGTATAACTTTTCTGATTATCGAATAAACAGTATTTAATACAGGATCTCCTTGGTCTCAGCGCTGAACTTAATAAAGATTTATAGCATCTATTGCGTGGGTAACTCGGAATCCTTCTGAGTGTAAGTTGAATATTATATAAACTATTAATACAGCTGATTTTATTCATGACTGTAATGAAAGTTAGATAATAATTATAAAGGCACGTCTGACCGTCTTTGGTATAGTAATTCTTGCCTTTGAATGATATATTGTAAGACCACCAAGTCAGGACTATCCCATACTTATAAGAGTATACATCTCGGAGGCGTGGTTTAATATAACTTAACAGAGAATATAAAAGGATCCTAGATCGTGATACTATATCTTGACAATCATTTGTTGAGACCACAGACGGATATTCTCTGAGTCCTGGCTGCACAAAGCCACCTGCTGGGAAGAATCTGAGAGATGCACCAATATCTACAACTCCTGCTCCTTTTTTATGCCACTATTATCTAGTACCGCCTTACATAGTATATCCTGGGAAAGGTAGATATCGGGAATCGTAATGGTTATAGTAGTATCTATTATTTTGTTAGTATATTCTATCAGTCTCAGACTCGCCATGGACCATCATAGCCAGCCAAATGTTCCTGAGACGGGGGTTATGATCCAGAAATGCGCGTGTATTTATTTGCTCTGTTTCTGAGTATATACTCCGAAGTGGTGGCGATTAGGGTGGGTGCAATCTGGTAAGTTGGTGACGGCTGGAAAACGCATCGCCAGCCTGGAGCATACGTCACCTGCAGTGGACATCATCCTGTACACCGGAGTGACCACTTCCTTCCGGGCATTGGGATTTGTGACACGAAAGCTGGGGCTTTTTCATCAAGTTCTGCAGACGCAGACTATCCTAGATTGAATGGATAGGGCAAGTGCGCATGAATGACTCGGGTTTCTCCTCCGAAAGTAGGCGTTTTTGATTACTGAAATTTCACTTTTTATTCTATACGCCATGCAATGTGCCAAGAAAGATCCTTTCATATTTAAGGATATAATATACTCCACGAACCTCGCAATGAGGAGTCTTTACCCTTGCATTAGTGCTTCAATGCCTGGAGTAGCCATTAATTCCGGTGTGGCCTGATGTGTCAGGTATCTGCATGCGTTCCGCTTTACCGAGCATCTCGACCAATCGGCACACACAACTGCTATCAGATGGAGGATCAGATTAGATAAAGCGGTCAAGGGGTCACCAGATCCGATGATGAAAGAAAGGGCCATCAGATAATGCCGCTACATCGCCATCAGTCTTAAGGTCGCTAAAGCGAGATCCTGGATTGACTCATTTTGGTAATCAAGCGTATCTTGACACATCCCGATCTCCCCATGTTCTCTGCTCCTCGTACTCCCCATTCAAGCCGACTCATACATTTTCTCCTGTGGGTCCAAAAATCCCTTCGTATGGCTTGGCTGGCCAGATCACGCTAGGAGGATCAGTCATATGCCCCGCTACTTTTAACGTCTCTTTTTGTGATCCTCCCTCTCTTGCGCATTTCGTATCTCTAACATAGCCATGCTACTCCAAGTCTGGGTGTTGTTGGTACTACATACGGCGTTCACCTACAGCAAGGTCTCCCCTGTCAACGAGCGCTGTGTGACGGCGGTGTACACAGCGTGTGGATATATTCCGTTTGCCACATCCCCTGAAGCCGCACGAGGATTCTGGGGATCACGATGTCAAAATCCCTGGACGGTTACCTCCATCTACGCTGCCGCTGATGTATACTGCGATGCATCTGAGCGAACGGCAGGTTTCGCCCAGCTCCAATCCTCCTGTCTACAGTTCGGCCATGTTGATCTGATACCACGAGACGCTCTGGCCACCAATTTGACCGAGGATGCTATCAATCAAATGAGGAGAGTTGACTATGGTGAAATTCCTCGGTCGGGGCCAGTTGATTACCCGGTTCTTCTCTCGGCATCGTTTTATCATCGCACATTCCGAACAATCGTAGGTTTCTCGGCAGCAACGTCGCGGATCTCGAACTAATACCACAGCTTGACAGGATACTTGGGAATTTGAAGTCTGGACTCATTCTGCCTATGGGTAGGAATAATCCTCTCGTCCGAATCCCCACCGTAGCTAACTGAACATCAACAGCCTTGCCGGATATCTCTTCTGGGCAGTCATTCTCTCAATCGGAGTCTTTCACCGATTAATTCAGCATATATTACTGTCGAAGCGCATTCGCGTAAATGGCAACCGATCCGTACTCTCACGCACCCTATATACACCCTTTATCACTATATACCACTGGATACAGACCTATATCATTACTTCCAGTCCTTTGCCATCGAGAGGTCGATATCTACTCTGGTGGACATTTCCCACTCGCATAGAAGCAATCCTTGTTGTTCTTTTTTGGGTACTCAGCGCGGTCCTATCCTCTGTGAGCTACCGGCTCTTTCCCGAGAATATATAGTGCGTTGACCAGAATATTCTGCTCGAGGTCATACTAACAGTTGATGAAGCTGGCCTCAAATCTCCGCCCAGCTTCTGCGCTATATCGCGGACCGCACCGGAATCCTTTCATTCGCCAATATTCCTCTCATCTGGCTTTTTGCAGGTCGCAATAATGTCTTCATCTGGGCGACGGGTTGGAGCTTCGCCACGTTCAACCTGTTTCACCGGCATATTGCCTGGATCGCAACCATTCAGGCGGTAGTCCACACGCTACTTTATGTGGTATTGTTTATGCAAAGTAAGTCATCGGTTATGACAATGTTTTGCTTCATTTACTAAAATCATGGGTATAGATGGTAATCCGTGGAAGAAGCTTGTTCGGAAACCGTACCTCATCTGGGGAACAATAGTAGGTGCATCGTTGCAAAGACCCGGATCACGAAACTAATGTTGACGTAGGGCATGGTTGCAATGATCTTATTATGCCCCTTCGCCATCGACTGGTTCCGCCGAAGGACCTACGAGACATTCCTCGTTTTACATATTCTCTTCTCGGTCGCGGCGTTAGTCGGTTGCTTCTAGTATGTCATTCTGCTTTCCGTTGCCCCCATTGCTCATCCTGACAAATGCGTGTGGCAGCCATACTATCATTTTTGAAGACTATGAGTACTGGATATGGCTATGGCCTGCTGTCGGCTTTTGGGCCGCGGACAGACTGCTACGCGTGGTCCGACTCGTCTACTATAACCTCCATGTTCGCACCAATGTTGGCAAAAGCATCCAGTACACGCGCAGCTCAGCAACCTATGACGAGGCCTCCGATGTCATTCGACTCGAGGTCATTCCAGGATCCAGCCGACTCCAACCTACGCCGGGGCAATACTATTATCTTTACCAGCCATTCCGGCTTACGGGCTGGGAAAACCATCCGTTTACTCTCGGGGCATGGTCATACGAAACAGGACTTCCCACATCACAAAAATCGATGCCTTCACTGGCGAAGGGAGATGACACCGTAGACGTGACGCGGGTCCCTCTACTCTCGGATAGCTCGTCCGGCTCACGAACTCCCCCAGAAGATATACCATCGCTCGATAAGTCCCAGAGACAGCGACTAGTCTTCTGGATCAGACCTTTTGACGGCTGGACGCGCCATCTCCGACAACAGTGCATAAAATCTCACGGTCGGACTTTGGATACAACGATCCTTTTGGAAGGCCCCTATGGAGAACAGTTCCCCCTGTGGGAATACGAATCAATCCTATTAATCGCAGGCGGAACAGGCATCGCCGCAGCGGTACCGTATATCCAAGACCATCTGACAAGGTGTACCACCGATGAAGTGGAAAGTCCGACGCGCATCCGAAATATTCACCTGGTCTGGACGAGTCGACAGGAGGCATTCGTCCGAGAAGTTGCCACTCGAGAGCTAAGTTCAGCCTCGCTCGAGATGATTTCCGGGCGTCATTTTATGTGACCTCAGCCACTGCAGCAGGTGGCTTGGACGAATGCTCAACGCTGTGCGAAGAGCTTTCGGGGAAGGCTATCGAGGTTGGTCATGGACGACCCGATCTGCAAGCCCTTGTTCTAGGCCACGCTCATGAAGCGCAACTCAGTGATTGCTCGGCTGCAGTCTTGATGTGCGGTCCCCCTGCTATGGCTGACGAAGTTAGAACTGCGGTGTACCAAACAATGCGGCAAGGCTATCAAGGGGTCCGGTACATTGAGGAATCTTTTAGCTGGTAACGTATTTTTTTAAGCTCGTCTAGGATTGATGTCGTACATCATACATATTTCATGGTTCATGTTGTCTTTTCACTGGAGTTGGGGGTTGAGATTTTGCAGTTTAGATATTAGTACACGGTAGAATTGCAGCGCACGTGGTTTCCAGACATTTTTGGAGAAATTTGCCAAAATAGAAAAAAGAAATTCGAATACCGTAAATAAATAAAATTAAACAAATGTCTTCGGCTTTTGGGTTTTCAATGCAGCCTTCTCACACGCAGGAACCACCGCTCGATAGCCGATATGCAAGGGGTAGTTCGCCCATGTCCCTCACTTCCCCCAACCTGTTTTTAGTTTTCTTTTTCTTTTTTTCCCACGCCCCAAGATCCGGCTTTTTCCAATAGACTTCACTGTGGTAACCGAAAGCGTGAGGTTCACTTCTTCTCCTGTAATGCTCAAGCCTATAATGCTGCTGCAGGAGAGAACGTTGAAGCGATCGAACCACCTGGATACGACACAACACATCAACAGTCCCGAACGGTATTTTGCTCACTTGGAACAGCCCAAGCGATCGACTGCCTAATTGCCTTTTGAGGGCAGTGGACCTTTGAGTGGTGACTACGGAAAGTTGCAGGAAATTGGGCGGACCAAACTACCACCAGTAAGGCTTCAGCAAAACCTTCGTGTGGGGATTCTAGGCCGGTAATGCAGAGACCATCCTGATTTATGGCGTTTCTGCTGTTGGGGGCTGGGTCTGAGCGTTGCTGTTTGGGGATTGAGGTTTCTGATACATCTTCTGGTAGTTTAGGGCTGTGGCTTGATCACCTGATGAGATGTATCTTTGATCGAGAGTATTGGTTTCCGGACTCATTACACATTGGAGGATCCTGTGCTAGAATTGATATATTCTTGAAGAGGCAGTAGCGGTGAGGCCCTTGTTGCCATAGTCTATTTCGCCGTCCTCTTAGGTTAAGTATTTCTGCATAGTGGGCGAGAATAGTGTGTTATCATACTACATCTTGCCATTTTCGATATTTCTCCCTAGCTATGCGCTGCATAGGGGCTACATCTATTATTGTTAGACATGTCATATGTCACTTGGAATACCAGGTTCGCAAAAGTTTTATCCTTTTCTGAACTCCTGCCCCTTATGTCCAAGGCAGCTCAGGTGACCACGGTCTTCCAAATTCGAGTGTCTTAAATTTCGTTAGTATACGGATTTTAGCATCAAAAGCAGCGTAGACATCCACACTGTTCTCAGAGACCTGGGGTGGGCACGGCAACTCTTCCGGCTATTCGGAAGACGGGTCATGTCTTCGCGGTCACCTATACGGGATGATCTCTACTGATCGGGTATACGGATCATATACCCTTATTCTATGGCGTGTATAGATTATGCTAGATAAGATGTACCTTGGACGTTAGCTGTTGTGATAGCACCCTGTTGGGAAGGTAACTTGCGGATCGTACTCCGGCGTGACGATCAGCCAGAGCCTATGAAGAAACTGAAGATGGAATGAAAGTGCTCTGTTATGTTAGAAAGTATTATATCCCCATGGATGCGGCCATACTATGTATAATAAACTGTTTGTATCTGAGGGTAGCCTGCATGTTTCGTTGAGTGAGCGTTTGATGTTGGTTGAGTATATATATAGCTGGTTCTCATATATATATTTCGGTAGTACGTGGGTGTCTATCAACTTACAATCCTGTCTAGATGCCAGTGTGATATACTCCGCATTCCAGTTTACAATAGCTGCATTTGGCGGGGACATAGATCCATGGTTTGAAGAAGTAACTGCTATACTAATAGGACCTTCATATCCGAGCAAACAAAGATAAGACTGTCCAAATGTGCCAGAGATAAGATGTCATGTTGTGTGAGCGCCGGGGGGGAGGTTTTACAGAAAGATCGAATATATATATCTCCTCCATACTACCAGTGCATACAACATGGTCATTGTCTATAGTGTAAGTAGAATCTCACCTCTATTCGACGGATTTACAAGAATAGCCAAAAACATACGGAAGTTATTGTATAGTCAGTGGTCACCTTAATGCCCACACCCAATGGGAACAATCAGCCTTGGTGTACGGTATTTCTTCCGGGGATGCTAATTTTAGGCAACATTGATGCAAGCGCTTAGAACGATGAATGAAGCTACGGCAGGATATTGGGCACAGCATCACATAAGAGTAAGGTGTACCTAACGATAAACTATATCTTGTAACCTTGCCGGCCATCAGGTTCACTCTTTCAGAAGGGCCGTGCACATACGGGCCCTCGTTTAGCCGGAGAAAGCTGAAATGTACATACATACATACAATTTGTGTCGGATTATCAAGAAGTGAAATAGCTATACCTGTCCAAGACAAACAGCTCTTTATTTGTATTCCTACAGTTATATTCCCAGTTTGTTACACTCGCCATCCGATCCACGATCCAAGGTAAAAGGTTTTCAACCCCACAAAATGACGAAAATTCAGGAATTTAAAATCAGACGATACTCCACAAATATCTGAGTTCGGTCGTCGTCCCTAATGACCTTCACTGTTCCTTGGCCGGGGAGACTCCGATTTCCGGGAACTTGATATGTGCTGATGACCGGGTCGAGTCCCATTTCTTGAAGCGATGAGGACATAATCCGCACTTGATCGGGCAGCGCTATAGCTCCCTCGAAGCAAGCACAAATGACAGCCGTATCCGCGGAGGGAAATTGACTTCTGTGGTGTTGGTACAGATCATCCACTCTCCCCATCATTCTACGAGCGTTGATATCGCCGGCAAACGGGTCTAGTGAGTCTGGGAATGGCTGGGGTGGGATATGGGCGAGAATAGCGCCATGTGCTGATACTATGAGAACGACAGAGCATGATCCGAGGCATTGGAAGCCATAAAGGTGAAAGGGAAGGATACTCTGAAAGCCTTCCTTGAATACGGGTGGGATATCAACCAGCCGTTGGGCGAGCTTAAACCCCCCGTACTTGGGTGAGACTCGTCATCCTTATATCTTCAAAGTTTCGCTGGGGATGACATTATAACACATGCTCAGTTATGCCATTTCAGATGAAGAAATGACAGCTTGGCTCCTTGATCATGGAGCTGATCCGAATCGACGGTGTTTTATTGACCTCACGCCACTCTCCCTTGCTGTTGAAAGCGCCCCTATCTCTGTCATCCATTTCATGCTCAGTCGGGGCGGAAATGTTCAACAGGGCCAGTTACTCCATCATGCAGTTGAACGGCCAACGGACACCATCGAAGTGTTAGGGCTTCTTATCGAAAAAGGGGCACCTATCAATTCAGCTATGTACGATGACTATCCGTCTTGGGCGCTATTATTTTTTACGGGTGTTGGAACACCGCTGCACAAGGCCGCCGAGCTCGGTAAAGTAGATGTAGTTCGCTACTTGATCAGCCAAGGAGCCGACCAGAGTATCAATGATGCAAATGGTCGTACAGCTATCGAGTGTGCACGAAGGTCGATCAAGGAGAAGTCGTCGAGGCATTAGAGAAGGCGAAGTAGCCCGTCTGTTCTGTATGCGTGGTACGTTCTTTTGTGTATCGGTCTTGGATGATCTGGTCTATCAATACGAAAGTGTGTTCCCCTTTGGCGTCAACCTGCCGCGATGCAGAAATTTCGGTAAAGAAAGATGCTCCAAGGCGATATAGGAGCTCTAGTTTAGCCAAACATAAAAAATACAAAAACA